ATGCAAGGAATATGGTGAGGGAAAGTTGTGAAAATATGCTCCATTTATTACCCATACTTTAATTTCTCATAGAAACGAATGCTGCGGTGACTGACTCCTGATAATAATGAAAAGAAGCGAGGGAAGAGATTTGATATCCTGAAAGAGACCACACCAGAACCGAAAGTACACCGACCAACACGCCTCTGATTTGTTCAGCCATATTCCGTATATCACATATAATGCCCCCTGGTCCTTTTAGTCTTTTCGCCAGAACCGGAAATCATCATTTTATTAATACTTGTTTACGAAGTAGTTGTAAAAAATTAAAATTAAAATTATAAATTACTTATAAAATAATTATAAATAATTTATATTAAACTTTGTTAGTACTGTATGATTGCTTAATTATTGGATGTGTAAAGTTATAGTGATAAAATGTTAAAATCATAATTATAAATTGCTAATAAAGTAGTTGTAAATTAATTATTTAATTAAAATATTATATGTTTAATGAAAATATTATTGTCTTTATAATTTAATTTTAAATTGCACTTATGTCTCAAGAGATCTAACTGTAATTTTTAAATTTTATGAGATTTATTTGTAAATAAGTTTGATCTATTAGACTTATATGTGATTTTTCCAAAATTATATATATATCTATATATATATAACATAACATGAATATTTTAACATGTATATTTATATTCAATTATATATATATCTCTATTTTTAAAATTTTATTCATTAATTTTTTATGATATAATAATAACTAATTATCATGTTTATGATAAAATTTTTAGTAATTTCTTTTTTAATATAAACTATCATTAAATTACCAAACATTTCATCTTTCATATAAGCATTAAATGATTTAAATGTACATTTGAGATCTAAATTATGTTCAATCTAAAAGACTTTTTTACTTACTTGTTGAACTTACTGTTTAATTTTTTTTATTATAATCATAGCAAATACATATATCAACATGACAATAATGCTCATTTGTCACAAACTCTTCATGTTGATAAAATTTAAGTGTATCATAGTAAAAATCATTCACATAATAAATTTTAATAGTTTAGTTGTTACAAAAAAAAGTAATTTTTGCACATAGCATTAAATATATCTTGAGATTTTTGTTGTAATGCTTGACAAAATTTGTTAGTAATAGTTCTCATAATTTTTTTATCAAATATAAAATAAAATTTAAATCAAATGATATTAATATTTTAAAAGCAACTGTAATATTATCTTGTTGAGAAAAAGTAAATTTCATGACAATTATATCTTCAGACTATTGAAAAAGCTAGATTATTTATACATAAAAGATTAATATAGAATTGAAATGAGAATTTTATTTAGTATCTTAAAGCTTTTGGAATGTAAACTTAAGAGATAGAAAATATACAACCCATACATTTTTTTAAGAAAAAATAAAAAAATTAAAAGGAAATAATCACTATTGATCCCTTGTCTAAACCCTTGCTTACAGGTTTAAAGATCATTCATAGACATGCTTATAGATCATTATCAACAAAATTTTAACACTAATAACAAGATTTGATCTCGTGAGCTAGGTTATGGGTTAAAATTTTTAACAATTATATCATTTTTCTTAGTTGGCTACGTTATCCATTGATGCTGAAACCGTTTTAAAGTCACTGTCTATTATTTATTATTAATAATAAGCGCTTGGATAAAACTAACACATGTTCTTGACAAAATTTTATCTGCCCCAAAAAGATTGATGTTCATTTTAAAAGAGGATTAAGGTGTTTTTTTTTTTTAGTGTTGGGCACCTATATTGATAAGTGATTGTTCATGAATTATTTTTTTGAGAAGAAAAAAATCTCTTCTATTAGTTATCAATCATTTTGTCATTTTTTTCTTTATTGATGTTACATGTGCATGGAGCCTATGTATATTGATAAGTAGTTTTCTAATCATATTATTTTGTGTTAATTTGTTTCCGAACTCTTTTTACAATAGTATCTTGAGCAGTCTTATTAAAATATTAAATATTTGTATATTTAATAATTTAAATATTATTATTCATAAACATTCATCCAAAATTTGGAAATTATTTTTTAAATATTAACAACTTAAACTAAGTTTGAGAAATATATAGATGACCTGTAATTTTATGTATATTAATTATATTTTTAATATTGATTTAGTTCTTTAAACTCTTAAAATTTTTTTTTGTAACCCTTTTGATCAACTAATGACCTTCCTTTAAAATGATGCGACACCTAAATTTAATATAGTATGCCACAATGTTAGGGGAACAATCAGAAACATGATAGATTAGGATCAACAAAAATACTTATTTTGGAGGATATGGCTTGTCCCATTAATATGCCAAAAAGAAAGCTAATTAACAAGAACATAATGAGAGATGAGGGAAAAAAATTCCTCTATTAATTTGTAGGCTCATTCTTTTCATTTTTAATACAAAGTTTTAAAATATTAAAAAATAAAACATTAAATTGGTTGTGGAAGAAGACTATTAATTGATCAAAAAATTATAGAGAAGGACTAAAAAATTTAATGTACTTAATCAATATTAAAAATTTGATCTATATATAAAAAATGACAAGTCATCTATAGGTTTCTAAAAAATTAGCTCGAGCTATTAATATTTAAAATTAATTTATAAATTTTGAGGTGTGCATTGCTCTTAGAAAAAAACTTGAAGGGGCCTAGCACTCTTAAAAAATTTAAGGGCAAATTAACACTAAAAATATGATTAAAATTTTATTTATTATTATGTGCTGGCCATATACACATCTCACATCTTGCAAAAAATGATAAAGTTATTGAATAATGATTGACTAATTAAAAAAAAAAATTTCTCTTTGAAAAATGATTTAAAAAAAATTATACACTTATTAATATAGTGTATCCAACACTCCTTCAAAAAAGTTTAATAATAAAAATACATTTTAACCTTCTAAAAAAAATAATAATTGAGTTGGTTATTTTCTCAGGACTCTGGATTGAGGTATAAATGCATAATTATAATTTATAGATTTAGGAAGCCATATGCTATTAACTTCAATTTAACCCCAAAGATTTTATTGCTACTATTGTAAGAGCTGAGGATCACAATAGTGTCTTGTCAACTTAACTCTCTTGACAGCTGCTAGGCGATATTTTAACTTCAAGAAGAATATTATTAAAGCAAAAATGATAATAAAATTATTTTAAATTATATAAATTATAATTTAATTCATCAAAATATTATAATATCAATAAAGTTTTTTAAATTTTTATTATTATTAAAAAATTAATATAAATAATTAAATTCCTCTCAGTTCAAATTTAAATTGTCATTTACAAGTTTTATTTTAAGATTCATAACTTTTTTTTTAATCGCAAGGATTCAAAAGTAATTCGTAAGTTTGTATTTGAAATACTGATATTCTTCGAGTGTCACAAATATTAATTGCCATTAATAAGTTTTATTTTAAAATTCACAACTTTTCTTTTTAAAATGGCAAAATCACAAAAATGCAACAGTAATTTATAAATTTACATTTAAAATCATAAATTAAGGATAATTTAATTATTTATATTAATTTTTTGATGACAGAATTTTTTTTTTAAATTTCAGAGAAATTATAACATTTTGAAGAATTAAAATATCATTTACATAATTCAAAAAGATTTTATCATCATTTTTCTTATATTAAATTCATAGCCTTACTAAGATAACATATTTTTTATTATTGACGGATGTTATCTGATTAAAAGTAATTTTGCTTAAGGCACCGTATAACATTAAAGAATAATTTTTTTAACACCGGAAAATTACCATTTGCAGAGATTAAAAAAAAAAATTCACCATAGCCAATCACCAACTATAGCTTTGGTGACTTGAAAATTATTTATCAAGCTGAATGACTATAATAGTTAATGTAATGATTACTCTGTTTTGGGGAATGATAGGGGAAAAAAAACTAAGCCAGTGACAATTTCCAATTTACTTTACCAAACTACAAGTTCATTAGTTCCTAAAACTTAATGACTATAACAATTAAAACAATATCTGCTTTATTTCCATGACTCATCAAAAAAAAAAAAAAAAACTCAACTAGAGACAACTAACTTTTCAAAACTCATTTTGTAAGTCCACAAATTTGTTGGTCGCTGTAGGCTGTAGCCAAATGATTATAATGGTTAAGGCATTACTATTTTTTTTTTCAACGAAAGACAAAGGGCCCTTACCTAGTGGCAATTAATTTTTTTCAAATTTATTTACAAGTCTACAAATTTACTGATTCTGAAAACTGAATAACTACGATGATCAATGCAATAAATACTTCATTTTAGCGAATAATTTAGAAGTATGTGGGCAATATGATAATTTCTTAAAAAAGTTACTCTCTCCGAATCATAGTATAAATCATTATTAATTAATTTATATTTATTAAAAAATTAATTAAAATCTTGATTTTATAAAATTTTACACATCTTTCTAATCTTATTTTTGCCTATAATAAATGCAACATTTGACTTATTTAAAATATTATCATTATCGTTATCATTATCATTAATTACTTAATAAAAAGGACGTCATTAAAAAATATATAATACATAAGAATATATAATATTTTATATTTTAGACTAATTAAAATTAAAAAAATGATTTATATTGTGATTTGAGGATATGTCGAAAAAGAAACTCGAGATTTTAGAATAATTATCTCGATTCATCGTCCCTTACTGTCGTTTGCGTATTTAAATGGATTTTTGTTTAATTTTGGCTGGGCTCATATTCCCCACAGATTTAGCCTAATTTTTAATTTTTTTTAATTGACGAGAGAGAGAGGAGGATGGAGGAGCCATTGGAGCCACAGGGAGAGAGAAGAACCCACAGGTCCGGTCAGAGCGAAGAACGTACCCTTTCATTTTCGCTTACTTTTTTTTTAAAAATTAAAATTAAATGATTTTTCATAATAATAAAAATGCTTCTTTTATTTTTATTTATATTTGTGTGTGCGGAAGATGATGGTGCCGTTGAGGTGTTGTGTGCCTTCCTGTCTGTCTTTCTCCTTCCAACCATTTCCTTCTATCCCCCCTTTACCTTTTTCTTTTCCTCGCCATAATTTCCAATCTCTCAACAATCCCATTCTTATTTCCTTTAAATACTTCAGAGATTGAAATGCCCTTCTCCGATTGAACCACCCACAGGCCTGAGATTGCCTTTCTTTTCTTGATCGGTGATCCTGCTTGTCTGCTTCCAGTTTATCTCCCTCCGGAGTTTTTTTCTTCTTTGTTTTCTGAGGAGGATTCTTGGAGAACATGACGAGGGCTAGAGGAGCCGCCGCTGTTAAACAGGCGGCGGCGGCGGCGGCGGCGGAACTCAATGGATCCGGTTCAAGGGCTGTTTTAAAAGAGCCAAGGTACCGGGGCGTGAGGAAGAGACCGTGGGGTAGATTTGCCGCCGAGATCAGAGACCCCATGAAGAAAGCTCGTGTCTGGCTGGGCACCTTCGACTCCGCCGAGGAAGCGGCTCGAGCCTACGATGCCGCCGCGATAGCCCTCCGTGGACCCAAGGCCAAGACCAATTTCCCTCTCTCCCCTTCTTCATTTTCGCCGTTCTGCTACCCCACCACCAACCCCAATGTCAACGACGACGTCTTGGATCACCGGTTGTACGGGAACAATGGTTTTCAGGAGCACCAGATTAATCCCCAGAGACCTGCCACCAGTAGCATGAGTAGTACATCCTTCAGCGGGCCACGGCCACCGTCCACGACGGCTCCGACTGCGGCAAACCGGAGATACCCCCGGACGCCGCCCGTCATGCCAGAGGACTGCCATAGCGACTGCGATTCGTCGTCTTCGGTGATCGACGGCGACGGCGAAGTCGCCGATTTCGCGTCATCTTCTTTCCGTCAACCGTTGCCCTTCGACCTCAACTTCCCACCGTTGGATATCGCGAACGTGGCGGGTGAAGATCTTCACTGTACCGCTCTCTGCCTCTGATCTCGAATCAAAGATTATGATTCTTCATTTTTTTTCTTTACCCTTGTATTTTTGTTCCCCTTTTTTTATGCGGAAAAAATACCAAAAAAAAGAAGAAAAAAAGATGATGATCAGACATGAGATTATGATGGTATGATCTTAATTCTGTGAGTGTAATCTTCAGCCACGGTGTTCCAACAGGGGTATCGATCAATTCTCTTCCACTTTCTCTTCAAAAAGATGAAAAAACAATGAAAAAAAATGTCACGATCTTTATGTCACTCAAGAATTTTATGGATTAGGGTTTGTAGTTGGCATATCCAATGTCCAATGTGGGTGTTCATGTCGCATTTTCATCTGGTTCTTGTCTTGCTATCAGTATGTATATATAAATGCTACGAGTTAAGAAAGTTAGAATTAGCTGTTACTCAAATTGCTTCTATCTCTTGCAATACCTTGAAAATAGATTCCATTACTGGTTTGGTTTCATTTTCCCCTCTGATCTTTACTATGGCTTAATGGTATGATGAGATAGATGGTAATATTTATTATTCTCAACGGATTCAACAGATGTTTGGTTGGTGTTAATGGGTGTCTCAGAGTAGACGGGGTTGGGGGAAATACAGCTTTATTGATGCCCTTTTGAATTTTTGTTCATTTAAGGGGTTTTTCTTCTTGATTTGAATAATCTTCCTAACCAACCCAGAAATTGAATTTCCTGGTTTGGTAGATTTCCTTTTCCACTGTGGTGTGGAAGAGCCAACAGAAAAAAGGAACCATCATGTTGCCTTCTATGCACTCAAGCTTTGTTTGGCTGTGTGGTCAATTGGAATTTTAGATAATGAGGCTGAATCATTACGCTGGGAAGAAATCATTTCCTTTTCCTGCTCTTTAAGTTTTTAGTCTTTTCACAAAGTGAGGTATGAACATGAGATTCCTATAAAAAATTGGCTACACCAACAAGGGCCAAATATTTGGACATAAATTTAGAGTAGGTTATTCAGGCTGGATAGGTTTGTTTTGGGCTGAATTTGACGCTGGACTCTACCATCTCAAGTTCAGGCAAGCTTTATATGTATTAGAGAAAATAACAAAATCCTTTCCTTCTTTCTTTTTCTTTTCTTTTTTTTTTTTACTGCACTGATATGTCAAATTCAGGAAACTAATGCTGGGAAAAAAGTATTTTGATATTTTTGCGAAAAAAATATATTGTTTTCCAGCGACAATAAGCTCCTGTCTGCTTTATTTTTGCACTTGACTTGAATTATACCCAAATATTCAAGTTTTTGGGTCCTTATGACAAATTTTCCCTTATTTTTATTACTGTGTGAGGAAGGAATCCAAGCCCCATTCGTCCTTTCTCTTGTTTTGCTTTGGCACGTGGACAAGAGGATTAGCTTCTAAGGAAGGCTACGTTGATTTGAGAGATTGGAGAAGCCTCTGGAAAACGTCTAGATTGAGCTATCACTGCCTCTCTCTCTCTCTCTCGGCTTTGTTTGTGTTTGAATGCTTTGAACAGAAAAGAAAAAGATATGGGGACTGTGTGATCATCGATTTCCTCCCATCTCCTTGGATCTTTTCACTGTAAGCGGCGTGACCCTGCTACTTCTGTTCTCTTCTTTTCTTTTCTTTTCGAGGAGCTATGGGAAATAACGAGTCTTAGGTTCATGTTTGATTGGACTGATTTGTGAGTAATTTCGTCAATGTCACTGCCATTCAATTTTTTGTAATTATTCATATTACATACGTAGAACGATGAAGATTATATGTGTTTTCTTTTTCAATATTTTGACGATATTACCTAATAATTATAATCAGATGCCAACATGGGAATGGGATTGCAATCGACTTTATCATGTTTTACTAGAAGAAGAAAAATCTTTTAAAACTTCGTTGAATTTTTAACTATATTCATATTAAATATATATTTTAGTAAGATATGTTTTGGTGCTGGCATTTAGTGAAGGGTAAACAAAAAAGCTTATAATAAAAATTTATTGATGTAAATTATAAATAAAATTAAAAGAAATATTTTTCCTCCCGCTTTATAGATAGGATTTGATAGAGTATGTTTGTATTTTAATAATAAAAGATTTAAATGAGTAGAGGCTTAAGTGTCTCCATATTTCATAAACGTTTACAAAGGTTCGCTTTTTGAAAATATATTTTGTTGTTTTGTGAAAATGAAAAGTGTTAATTATGTTTTATATCATGGCTAAGCTTCGTACAAATAATAGAGCGTCCTTCCCATGTTTTTGTTGTTTATTTTTTTATAATAATATTTATATCCTTTTAATTAATCAGGGTATACTTTAAAGAGATTGAGATGTTTTTTAATACATAAAGTAAAATGATAATTTTTGTAATCTACGTGACAAAATGTCACAAATACTTTATAAAATGGACTCGGGAGTATTAAATAATTCAGATGACTCATCATCATATTACAGTTAACATGTTAAGATTTTTTGAAACTAATTTACGGATCACGAAAAATTTTGGTTTTTTTTTACCAAAGAATTTTTGAAGAAATATCACCCACAAAAAAGGGGAAAAAGTATGCGTTCAGGAAAATACAAGGACCACGTAGATATGCCATGTGCATGGCAAACGAAAATAATTTCCTTAAATTGATGCTCATCAAATAACAATAAAACCTTTAATTGCATTTTAAATTATTCTTTGGTGCAAATTATGTGACATGCTTTTTCCATTTTTTTAACTTAAAAGTTAATTTACAATTGAAAATTTTCTTTTTTAAGAATTCTGGGATAGGATCAAGTGTCAACTAGTCGTTTGGCAGCGTGCTGAGCAAGGACAAAAATCACTTTAAAAAAAAAAATTTGGCAACTCAAAATAATTATGTCACGACTCTTACGAGATGATTATATATCAGTATAATCACGTATCAGCTTGGCGCAATTTTTCTAATCAAGTGTAATTGGGGCACGAAACGTGCTGAAGGAATGTCTTATCCAAAATGGATTAGATTAAAGAATTTGTCCCTAAAAAAAAAAAAAACAGAACAAAAAGAAGACAATGGTGACATCCAATTCACACCCAAAAATACTAAACATATTAGGTTCAAAAGGCACAAGATAGAATGCGGTCAAAACAAGAGAAGCACATGTGGAAACAATCACCTACTTAATATAAAATTATATTTGTGATAGCTTGATTATGGTATGCTTATATCCATAACTTTCTAAGAGAGAAGTAGTGCTATTGTGCCTCCCATATGTTTACCAACCAATTCCAAAGTTTAGGAACCACTTGAGCATACCTCTATCAATATTTATACATACACACGTGTGTGTACATGTTTATATGTATAAACACCCACATATTAGGTATTAACTTATATTACATTATGCATTTTTTTGTTATTAGGCACAACATGAGTGTTTTATTTGAGCCATGATCAAATACTAGTTGTTTTAAGTTTATGTATGGGTGTGTGTCCCACATTGTCAAAGTAAGAGGAACTCCAAATGTATGAAAAATAAGGAGTGATTTTACACAAGTAAATAGGCATAGAGAAGAAACAGGTTTACATGCAAAAAAACATGCCAATATAAGGTAATTGTAGTTGAAAATAATTGATTTGCACTTGTGTGCTAGTTAAAGTTATACTAAGTACTTTTTATTGAAATTATTTTTGTGAAAATATAAAATTAATTTTGTTTAAGTTTGCTTATCTAAAAACCCTTTCTTTTTTTTTTTGCCAATTTCAAATTTGAAATCTTGAAATGGTGGCATTTTATTTCTTATTAACTAAACTTAATCCTCCCATAAGTTCACTGCCATCCAACGTTTGCTTGGGATCTATGCCTATATATACCGATGGATATTGTGTGTTCAATGTTTGACTCTTAAGTTTTCGAGCTAATTCTTTTCTCCAACATCATGTTGTATTGCCCGGGTTGTGTTTTGTTTTTTGTTAATGCTATTTTGTGCTCATGTTCTTTGTGCTGTGCAAAGAATCCATTTAATATTGAGTTGTCACAATTTTACTAGTATAACATAATAGCTCTTAAGGATGATGTTTTTAAATACAATTCATGTCGCATATTATATCATTGCTACAAACATTACATATGAGCATATTTTTTTTAATAAGGATTTGAACACAACACTCATGTTGTAAGGGGTAGCCTTTTCCATTAATCCCAATCTCCATTGTATTACTTTATATGTTCTTTCTTCTTCTTCTTCTTCTTCTTTTTACTCTTCCACTCTTAAACTTATTGGGTGAATGCAGCACTTTTTTCCTTTTACATTTGGTAGCTCTGTAAGATTTTTTGACAAGTCTAAGTTTAACACTCTTCAAATTTAAAAAAAAAATTCATACCGATAGTATTGATGACGTGTGGTTAGTTGGGGGTGATTTTAATGAGATTGCCTCACCTCTTGAATAGAAAGGAAGTGCTTATCCGAGCATCTAGAGATGTAAGGCCTTTCGAGATTGGATTGAGGATTGTATGTTAATTGATATTGAGGTCGAGGGGCCTCTTTATACTTGGAAGGGGTCAAAGTTGAATGGGAGAGATAGAGTATATAAGAGACTTGACAGGGGTCTATGTAACACCATATGTCAACAGAAATTTCTTGATGCGTATGCACAAGTTTTGGCTTGAGTTGAATCAAACCATCATCCTTTTTTTTTTATATGCATGGCTATGTCCTCTTAAGAAATGCTCAGCCTTTTAGGTTTGAAGCCATATGGTTGGGTTATAGAGATTTTAAGGAGTTTTTGTGTGGAAATTGGTGTCAAGATGTAGAGGCTCATGTGGCTCTAAATTGTCTCAAAGAACCATTAAGGACATGGAACCGGGAGGTCTTTGGCTGGCTTGAGAAGAGGAAGAAGAAACTGCTGGCAAGGATTGCAAGAATTCAACAAAAGTTGAATGGTACTTCAAACCCGTTTCTAGAGGACCTTGATGTGAAACTAAATGATGAATTACGATAATTGCTTCATCAAGAGGAAATTCATTGGAACCAGAAGGCTAGGGGTGAATGCATAAGAAGTGGTGACCACAACACTAGGTTTTATTATTTAAATCATTTAAAGGTTATTGGTCGAAGAAGATGAAATAAAATTTACATGTTAAGGAATGAAAATGGTATATGGATTGAGAATGATGAAGAATTAATAAGGATGGTGAAATATTTTTATGTTAATTTGTTTTATAAGGATGTTATTGCTCAACAATGGGTCAATACAACATAAATGAGGGAGAGTTGATGCTATTAAGACCTAAAGGTTAGGTAAAGCTATTAGTAAATAGGAGGTTTATCAGGCTATCTTTAGTATTGGAGCTTTTAAAGCTCTTAGTGAGGATGGATTCCCAACAATTTTCTTTCATAAAAATTAAGATGTAGTAGGAAGTACTATTATAGATTTGATTATGCACATGTGGAATAATCCGCAACGCTTGGTTGAAATTAATCAAACTTTGCTTGCATTGGTGCTAAAAGTGGATAAAGTTGAAG